GAAAAAAAAAAAAAAAAAAAAAAAAAAAAAAAAAAAAAAAAGATCTCCTTTCATCTTACCATCATATCAGAGGTAGCCACTAACAACAGCTCTGAATGTGACTTTCTTGCACTTTTTTTTATGCAAATACATTTAACTATGTACTTTCAAAAACCAAAATAAGATCATACTGTGCATGCACTCTGGTGTGCAACTCACTATAAAGGACTGCAAAGCAACTGATCAGGTGGCACACTCATATAAAAGATTTCAGACATGTTTTAACATTGGTACTTTAAGATCTATCTCATCCTTATTAAAAGATGCACAGTACTCCACTATATCACAATGGGTCATAATTGTCTTAATTCTTTTAATGAGCATTTGAGTAATTTACAGGTTTTCCTTTTTTTTTTTTTTTTTCTTCAAAACAATGCTATATTGAAAACTGTATGTTTGTGTATGTGTGTGTATCTTTATACACTTGTGCCAGTATTATGTATAAGAACTTCAGGGTCTGTGAATGTGGAATTTTAAATTGGAAGATATTGCCTAAGTGCCTCCAGAATGTCTATACCAACCATGTGTATGAGTACACATGTGATTTCTGCTCTACTTTTAAGTCAAAGAAAACTCATTTGTGTATAATCAGAATACAGATTTCAGTGGCCTGACACAAAGTTTAATGAATTTCTACATGGAAATTTAAGCTTTAGGACATATCATAATTAGCTGTTTAAAAAAAAAAAACCCAACATCTCTTTCCCTTTCCCAGAGCTAAGGAGGTTAGAGAGATGAAAATGAGCCAGTCATTTGAAGGTGGGGAGGGCCAGCTTCCAGGCACAGAGCAAAACTTGTGTGACATTGAGCCCAGCTTGTTTCAGAACCTGAAGTACAGTGTAGTTAGACTTAGCGGGCAGGGGAAGAGTGGTTCGACTGAGGTAAGACGTAGACAGGGGTCAGGCCACACGGGCACTGTGGATAGGAATTTCATTCCAACTATAATAAAGCAATTAAAGGTTTAAGCAAGAAAAGATCTATCATGAACTGAAAAAGGAAGACTAATTAGGAGGTTACTAAAATCAGTAGTTGATGATGGCTTGAACTAAAGACTGTGCCCCTAGAGCTGGAGAGAAGCAGACAGAGCAAAGATGTCCATGTTGGAGGCAGGATCAACAGGACTTACTGATAATGGATTAGATGTGGGGATGGAGAAGAAGGTTTACAAAGATTCCTAGATTTCTGGTTTAATCAACTGGGTGAAATGCGCTGCCATTTACACATGGGGAAAGACTGAAGTTGGGAGACAGGATTTGGTTATGGACATAAGATATCTAGGAGACACTGAGTGTCAATGTCAGGTAGGCATATGGAGAGACAAGACTGGGAGAGATCAGAGGAAGGAAAAGAGCTAAAGTTATATACATCTGAAAGTTTTTAAGCACAGAGAGAATATTCAAAGTCACAGGAGGGTGTATGATCCACCTAGGGAGAAGAGACACATTTCTTAATAAGGTTAAGGTGGAGTCTGAGACCAACACCATTGAAGCTGAATAGATACCAAATCTCCTATTAAAGTTCACCTTATATTAAGACTAATTCATTAATACTATATGAAAGTTGATGAGACTAAGAGACCAAGATGGTAAAGAATATCAAACTAGACCAGAGTACATATGGTAGGTTAATATGACTCATGCCCCTAGCACAATTACCTTGAGATGCACTGTCGAAGGACTTGATGAGGGTTTTTACTGTAGGGGTTGGCTCGGAAGAAGTCGAGGACCTTCTACTCAGTCCCATCCCTTGCCTTAAGGCTGCCAAATCTCTTTCAACAGCATTCATGTAGTTGTATACACGGCCTCGCTCCTCTTCTTGCCTGAAAACAACATTGAAATTAGGATATTTTTACATATAGACTAGAAAGTACACATTTTCCCTTCCCAAAGCAAAAGCATTAAAAAGTCTCTGTTTTTAAAAAATCTTATCAGTTGAGCTCAGTAAATTACCTGGTCTAATATTCTCATTTGCTTGGTAAATACCAGGAAATTATATTAAAATTTTTATATCAGGTTATCCTAAGTAAGTTAAGTAACCATCAAATTCCACTTTCATCTAAGTAAGTGTAAGGTGAGGACATCAGTAATCAATTAGCAATAAAATGGGAGGCAGACTGGCCAAATATCCTGACTCAGACTGGGAATTCTGGGTTCTGTGCTGCTGAGAAGGCCTGGCCCTTCTTAGGAGCCAGGGGATTCAACAGTAGATATGGATACTGGAGCTAACTAATATGCCCTGCTTAGACATGGAAATACAAAAAAATGAAACCAAAGCCCATAATCTTAAAAAACAGAACAAGAAAACTACTATAGTTTCCAAATAGAATTTCTACAAAGAAAAAAGAGCCAGGCCCATATTAGTAACATGAGTCCTCATGCTCAGTGTGATGCATCCTCAGTCATCTAAAAAATCAATTCCATCTCATTTCTGGCTCTCTCTAAATCACTGAGCTAACTAACACAAAAGTTTTCATCTGTAATGAGATTATAATTGTAGAGTTTGTACATGTCATGTAACTATCAAGTACATTTACAGGTGGACAAAAATTAAGCCAGTTCTTAGGAAAATTTGTCTATCATGATCATTTAGCTCTTCTAGCAGGTTTTTATTTGTCTCAAGATGTACCACAGGGTCTCATGTTCAGCTAGTTGTCAGGATTAGAAGTTTTAATAAAGAATCTGTAACAGCAATTACCAAACTTTTTCGTCTTAGAGTCCCTTTCCACTCCTAAAAATGATTGAGGCCCCCTCAAAAGCTTTTGTTTATGTGGGTTTTCTTCCATTAAATTTACTTAAAACAAAGAAATACATAAAACATTAATTAACCTAAAAATAAAAATAAACCCTGAACTTACTAACATGATTAACGTATTTTTACAAAAAATAACTATATTCCCAAAGCACAAAAAAAAAAAAAAAAAAAGGTACAAAGAGTGGCAGTATTTTACATTTTTGGCTTTCTCTTTAATGTCTGGCTTAATAGAAGACAGCTAAATTCTCATTTGTTCTATATTCTATCTATTGTGATATGAAAAAAAGCAGGTCTCATATACATATACAGTTGGAAAAGGGAAGAATGTTTTAATAGCCTTTTTAGATAACTGCAGCTATTCCTCTCTGACACTGCACCAAAACGCAACAAGTGGTATTAAAAGTAAGTTGGGATGCGGAATCTGAAACCATATAAATGAACTTTTCCTATTTTTGTCCATTAAAATCCACTGGTCTATCTTGTAGTCTGAATGGATCTTTTACACATATATGATTGTAACATCATGCATTGGTCATGAGGAAAATATTGGTTCACTGATTTACACAGATTTTTCCAAATGCCTGTCATTATACCATATATTTTCTGAAAGTCACATGTGTTAACATCACCAATGACCTCATCAGAAAACTTTTTAAATATGGAAGTTGCCAAGCTCACGATGGCAAATAAAAGTTTTCCAAAATCCTAATGTTCACCTGAAAGCCCATATTTTATCACTGGCAACAAATACTGTCAGTTGTTTACCTTGAAGTGACAGGCTCTCTTAATCATTTTTAAGAAATATCCACCAAACACCAAAGTCTGAATATCCACAGTTTGCCTGTCATTCTCAAGTAAAAATGACATTCCATGAAAAAAGAAAATAGCTCGGGGCCAGCCCGTGGCTCACTCAGGACAGTGCGGTGCTGATAACACCAAGGCCCCGGGTTCGGATCCCATATAGGGATGGCTGGTTAGCTCACTGGCTGAGCGTGGTGCTGACAACACCAAGTCAAGGGTTAAGATCCCCTTACCGGTCATCTTTAAAAAAAAAAAAAAGAAAATAGCTCAAACTAACAGGATCACACCATGCTTTCCTCAAGACAACCTCATACTGCAGCATACTGCAGGTACAGATGAAGTGCTTTTTATGTACTTCCTATTTTGACATACAGAATGTGAAAAAGAGTGTATTCAGGGACTAGGATTTATAAAATTAATAATTTACTGCTTCACTAATGACATTTTTAAATGAAACCTGCATTTTTCTAAAAATGTGAGCATGTGGTGGTAATACAATGACTTTGAGTACAATTTGGTGCCAAGGCCGTGATTCACAATCTAAAATTTGAATTCCCCTCATATACATACAATTTTCTAACCTTCTACATTTCTTGCTAACAGTTTACAATTGCTTTTCACTATCAGTGCAAAAGTCAACACAGTGAAAAGGGCAAACAATGTGTTAATATTATTATAAAAAGTTTGACCTTGCAGACCTCCTGAAAGGGTCTTGGGGACCCCCAGAAATCTGCAGACCTCACTTTGAGAGCCACTGCTCTACAAAATGCTTCCTCTTTTAGGAAGTACATCTTTTAAATATGTGTCTCAAAGACTGGTGAGCTTTCAGGATCCAATGGAATGATCCTAAAAGAGTAGAACTGCAGTCATTCAGGATAACTGTAAAAATGAAGCAATTCTGATATGCTATTTATTTAATAGCATACAGGGAAAAAAGTAATCTAATACAAGTTTTATACCAGTGGAGAAAAAATGATCCTAAAAGAGTAGAACTGCAGTCATTCAGGATAACTGTAAAAATGAAGCAATTCTGATATGCCATTTATTTAATAGCATACAGGGAAAAAAGTAATCTAATACAAGTTTTATACCAGTGGAGAAACAATAATCTGCCTCATTCCATGTTCTATATTAAAAGACTTAAGGAAGCCAGTGAAAGATGTTTAGCAATACTTTTCACTGAGCCAGACACTAGAGCTAGGCAATAATAAAGTAAAATAGCTTTTCAAAGACATACTGTTAGTTTTCTAAATTTTTTCCCCAAGCTTACTTAAGAATTACTCAAAGTAAGGAATAATCAAATTCTTAATAATAACCTCAAACACAAAAATACTATTCCCCACTCAGCTCAGAGCACAAATGCTATCTCATCTAATAATTATGTGTTTCCAACAATCTCTAAGTTAGATGGAGGAAAAATACTACTGTGAAGATTCATGTGGTTATAAGATTAAAAAAGTGAAAATTTCTCAAGTGAGTGATGGAGAGAAACTCACTTTGCATTCTTTACTTGCATCTCTAAAAATACAAGCTAAAATATATTAGTCATTGCCCTGAGCACTTTGCAGGCATTATCTTATTAAATCCTTACAACAACACTATAAAGCAGGTAGTACTGTCTCCATTTTAAAGATGAGAAAACTGAGGCTTGGGAAAGTTAAGGTTCCTGACCAAGATTACACAGCTACTAAGAGGAACAGCCAGACATGAGCCAAGTCTGTCTCCAGAGTCCACATCCTTAATGATGAGGCTATAATCTAAAGTAACAGGAATGGATTATGGGGATAGGGAAAAGGAGGGAATTATAATGTACCCTTTTGCCAGGGACCATTCTGGCTTCCTCCAGAGTTGTGGATCATTGACACTGATAGACACTGACAAAAACTCTGAAAGATCCATATAGACTGCACCCAGAAAACCCAGTAGTGTTGAACCTTACATTCTTTCTGTAATACGTCACAAAATTGGGACTTAAGTGTTCTCTGCTGAAACCTAAGTATACAACTGGCTTCTCAAAACATACTTGCGTGACTTTATTTCCTCCAGTTCTTTTGTGAGTTTCTCATTTTTTTCTTGAGCCTCATGTAACCGGCGCTTCAGATCGCCAATCTCCTCTTGGGCTTCAGATTTAATGTCATTTGCAATGACTACTGCGGTCTGGAGATCAGCTTGAAACTGCCGCCATTCTGCAGACTCTTCCTATATTAAAAGACTAAATCTTTATTTCCAAAAGAGAGCAATGAAGACTTATTTTAAAGCAATAAAATTTGTTTATGATTAGATTCCTTTAAATGCATTGTATTCCCAAACGATGATTTTTTTTTTAATCCCAGGGAATAGCTATTGCCTATTTCTAACAGGCAATGCCACTATTATTATTGAACTTGTTCTTAATGTGGAAAAGATTTCCCAGCTACCCTTGCTTATGGAGACATCAAGCACTCGAAGTGCTCACTAAATAATAATGTCAAGCCTCCCTTCCTCATGCAAGTTTCAAAGCAAGCCTTACAAAAATAAACATCAAATTTCACAGAGCTTTACCTCTGAAAAGCTCAAGAAGGTATATAAATGGTATGTGAACCATACAGTAAAAACTATAAATATCCTTACATCAAAAACAGGGGGAAAAAAAATCAAAAGTAAAGGAAAAGGAAGAGGAAGCCAGAAGAAAAACATTAAAATAATATAGGCAGACAAAATTATACAAAGAGGCGGTAAGGAACTGTATGGTCTGTTGCTTCCCACAGTCATGGAGGATGCGGGTGTGGCTGGGTGGGGAAGTCTCCCCAGGGGCTCACCTCCACTAGAACCACAGCTGGGCCATGCCTGGGCCCAGTGTCCCTTCACCACCAAAGCAAAATTTCTGACATCGCAAAGGCAGTCCGAGCAACTGTGGAATGACCCAAACTGTGAAATTAGCTTTTTCCCCACCCTCTGTATCATAGCAACACTGCTGATGGCGAGCTAATCAAAATCACTGAATAAAGAAAATTCATATAAAAACAGTTTAATTTGTGACACTTTATGATCAAAAGCTAATAAACTTCCCAAAATATAACACTTGTTTCTTAACGAATCTTTCTAAAATTACCACCCATAAATTATCTTCTACTCAAAATCTAGCACCACTCCCACTTTGAAATGACAGCATTTGATTTCTGCCCGAAGCCCAATGGGTTCAATATTATCACTGTATCTAAAGCTTAAGATGATTGATCACACGGTCAATGACTACACCTCAAACTTAAGAAAACTATGTTTTCTAATGAGATAATATATGAAGATTTATCCTACCCGAAGTCTCCTGTGGAGTGTCTTGATTTCTCTTTCCATGTCATGTTTTTGGTCCTGGAGTTTTTTAACTGTATCTGGAAAGACCACAATAGTTTAAATATTTATTCTTAGAGCTGTGTTCAAAGGGCATAATATAAAGGGAAGAGGTACTTAAATATGACATTTTTAAAAAAGTTATCCTGCCCAAAGACCTTTTTATGAAAACTTAATATAAAACATTAAAGGAAAAAAAGAATGTTCAATCCAAATATTAACCAATATTATTTTCTAAGGAAAATATCAAGTTAAAATCACAATATGTGGATCACTTCTTTCCTTAATGTCTTAATTCTGAAACAAAAAGTTAAGTAAAATCAATTGTTAGAAACATACATTTTTGGCACATAACCAATCAAAACAATGACTGCTATCAAAATGTGTACTTTTGGGCTGGCCCGGTGGCGCACTGCTACAGTGCACCGCTTGGGAAGCACGGCGGCGCTCCCGCCAAGGGTTCGGATCCCACATGCAGACCGGCGGCTCACTGGCTGAGCGAGGTGCGGTCGCAACGCCGAGGGTTGCGATCCCGTTGCCGGTCCCGGTCCGGTACGGGCGCGACACTGAGGGTTGCGATCCGTTGCCGGTCACGAAAAAAGACAAAAAGGACAAAAAAAAAAAATGTGTACTTTTTCCTGGCCTATAGAGGATAGCTACCTCCCCCAAAAAGTGAACTTTTAATCATAAGGGTTATTAACCTAAAGTATTCATGCAACAGCTCTTGTCCTCATGTGCTAGAGTCCTAGGAGAGAATCTACTGGTCTTGATTCACTGGTGAGGGCAATCAGTGCCCCCATTAGTGCCCAGATCAGAAACACAGCAAAATATATATATATATATATATATTTATTCAAGCATAACTTCCTTTACACACTGGAATAAATTCCAAAAAAGTGAATTTATAAAATTAATTAAACAATTAACTGCATATGGGCCGGCCCGGTGGCGCACTGCTACAGTGCGCCGCTTGAGAGCGCAGTGGCACTCCCGCCGAGGGTTTGGATCCCACATACAGACCGGTTCCCACTCACTGGCTGAGCAAGGTGTGGGCACAACACCGAGGGTTGCGATCCCGTTGCCGGTCCCGGTCCGGTGCGGGCGCAACACTGAGGGTTGCGATCCATTGCCGGACACGAAAAAAGACAAAAAAGAAAAAAAAAAAAAAATTAACTGCATAATATCTAGGGGAGCCACTATTTAAATTAATACTATAGAAAATCTTTTTATAAAATAAAGAATATATTTATAAAGTAAATCAATAACTCCTCAAATTATTTATTGCATAAAAAGAATTTTCTTAGAACTTAACTCACTCTGTAAACATTTAATGAACACCAAGAAGATGCAAAGTACCATTCTAGATACAGTGGGGATACAAAGATGAAGGCACAGCACAGGACAGTCCTTAATATTTCTTGGAACCAGAAATATAAAGAGAAGTCACATTCTATTTGGAAGTTCTGCTCTAAAATCCATGCATAAGGAAGAAATGCTTTAGGAGGAAACCATGCTGGTAACTGCAGCTCAGTAAATTTATCATAGCTGATTACTTTGACAGTTTAGGAACCAATCACTTTTGGTTAAGCACCAGAAAAGACATTTACATCTAGTGACAGATCCTTTACTCTGATTTTACTTACTGCCCCAGTAGATCCCTGTCTGGGTTCCAACTCTGCCTTATACAGACTTGTATATGTTGCTGCCAACTTTATTACATTTCTTTACACATCTGTCTCTACCACTAGACTGAAAACACTTCAAAACCAGGAGCCATGTGGTGACTTCACAGCCCTAGCACCTGGCACATAACAGGCCTTTAAAATGGAATGTATAAATATGCAAACTAATAGTAGCAGTAAGAAAAAGTGATACTGAAATCATTATCTAGGGTTTCTTCAAACATTAGTATTTTACTGATAGAACTTAACTATTTATTGTTAGGGACATCATAGCTATAAACGTTGGTATTTCTTTTTTTTTTTCCTTTTTTTGTCTTTTTTTGTGTCCGGCAACGGATCGCAACCCTCAGTGTCGCGCCCGTACCGGACCAGGACCGGCAACGGGATCGCAAACCTCGGTGCTGCGCCCGCACCTCGCTCAGCCAGTGAGCGGGAACCGGTCTGTATGTGGGATCCGAACCCTGGGCGGGAGCGCCGCCGCGCTCCCAAGCGGCGCACTGTAGCAGTGCGCCACCGGGCCGTCCCTCAACATTGGTATTTCTGAGTGAAGAATACTCTCTCCCATTCTTTACACTTAGTAGCAAGAACCCAGGCAAAGTGAACACTTATGTGTTATGACATGCAATCAAAAAAATCTTCCTCCAGCTAACAAATTATTACTTTTTAATCAAGTATGAACATGCTGAGGTTTTTTCTTAGAGGGCCCATTATCTTCCTCATCCCAGTTCCATCAGGAACCTGGCTCTTCTGGAATCTCTGTGACATTATGCCTTTCATTTAATGTTGGTACATTTGTATTCTGATTTTTTATTAAATGGCATAAACTCACTTCAGTAACAACATAAAGCCTAGAATATAACATTATATGTGCAATAATAATTATTATAACTATATAATAATGCTATTTTTTTAAAGCTGGATAAAAAGTAAATGAGATAAAATGTGAGGGGTGGGGTGGGGGTAGGGGTCAATTCTGGCAGCCAGCAGCTAACTTCCTCCCATTCATTGTCCCATAATTGTTTAATAAAGTCAGGGCCTATGAAATAAAAAGGGTTCACATTTACTCATTAATTCAACAAATGTCTCATAAGTACCAACTTTGTGCCAGGCTTTTTCTAGATGCTGAAGATATAAAGGAAAAGAAAAAAGATATACTTCCTACCCTCTTAGAGACAGAAAGGCCAATCTTGTTTTGAGCTAGCAAAGGAGGACGGTTTCATATGCAAAAGATTAAACATTTGAAATCTGTCTCATGTACAACCTACTACTTCAGACCTAATTTAACCTGGAAACTAAGGGCCTAACAGGCCATCTAATCTGGTTAAGGGCAAAGTGGACACCAAGCTGAGTGGGGAAGCCCAATACCCTGATCCTTATCTCTTGAGGCAAGGATGGCTCATCAAACCAGCAAGGGAATTTGGTTCCTTGTGACTCAAACAAGGGTGAATTCAGGGTTTCAATGATATTATCAGACACAGCTACAATGTAAGACCAGAAGCTGAAATATCTCTAGTGTTGAAAACACCAGGGGTTATGCCTTTCATTTATGCTATCTCTGCTTGTAAGCCAGAAATATTTTATAATTAAAACAAACAAGCAAACAAAAATATTAGGGGTGTAATTTCTTTTCAATTTGCTGAAAATTGTTTTCCTTTTCTTCTGATCACGAAGGACACACCTACTTATCTTTACACATAATGCACATAAGAGAAATGACAGTAAATCTTACAACAGCTCACTTTTAACACCTATGTCTTGATTCTCAGGTGACATTTTAAGCTACATGGCCGTCTTAAACTGCTCATAAAATCCCAAATTGCATTCATTTCTCTTGTTCTAATCTTCTTCTCTTTACCAACCTCTACTTTCATGGCCATAATCACTATTCTTAAAAGGACATTCTTCTGCCCTGGTACTACATGTTTATAATTGTCACATCTTATTACTACTCCTTTCAAATAGAAGGCTGGCAGCCACTGGACATACTTAGAACACAGTGCACTAAAAGTGCCTCTAAGGAATTTGATTTAAACTTTACAGTCATGCCTGTATTATCACTCTGAAATACAAAGTATTAAAAATGACAACAGGCTTTTTCCTCACTGGAAACAAAGGAGTTTGTGCTTAAGTTCTTGTTTTGAAGACTACTTAGCAAAACTTCCATCTAGCATGGTTAATGGTCACATAACAAGGCAGCATCACTCTGCACCTCTCCAGCCTCTGAAAGCAGTTTCCTCCTTCTTCAAGGTTTTCTTAGCGTGAGGACACTGCCATCTACTGTCTTCAACTCAAAAGCAACATTTAATTCTACCAAAGAATCTACTACTATGATTTCCTTATTTTTTTAAATTACAAATTATATCTAAATTCTGCTATTTTTATTCTAGAAATCAAGTAAATTGCTATTCTCACTGTTATCAGAACAACTTTGCTCTGAACAATTTTGGGCACTGCCCTGCCTGTTTAATAATGTGGTAAAAATAATGTGTTTTGATAATCTTTTCACCACCAAGGACCTACTGTCTCTGACAAATCAAGAATCCACTCTGGCTCTGGTTATATGCCCACCTATCACACAGATGTTACCAGGCAGCTACCAAAGGCACAGATCAACCTGTGACTCTTGGGGGTATAAAGTAATCAAAGTTCACAAGCAACCTTTCCTGCTCTCCGAATCCCTAGAACACCATCAGAGTACTGGCACCAGCACTTAGTCAAAGTCTTGCTTCTGGTCAATTATCTCCAGGTGAAGTCCAGGTGCAATTTTTAAAGGACGGGAAAGGACAAGAGTAAACAATCTGTTCAAAACCACACTTCAGGAGCAGGTGACTGGGGTGAGCAGTGTGTCCAAGCACCAGGCCACGGCTTTATTCCCATCCTAGAATTCCTGACATGGGAAGAGGACACAGATGAGTTTCAAATGAATCACTTTCTATTTTTCTTTACTTTTTATTTTACACATTTTTATTTTTCCCAGAAAAAGCAGATGTAACTTTTCCCCCTTGATTCTAAAGATAATGCATACTCACAATAAAAAGTGTGGAAAAACAGAAAAGGGTAACAAAAATAACATTACCCATTATGTGCACTCACATATGTCTTTCCAGACTTCATACATATGTACATAGTTTTGTTTTATGCTTTTTTTTTTGTCCTTTTTGAGACCGGCCACACCGCGCTCAGCCAGTGAGCGCTGTGAGTGCACCGGTCATCCCTATATAGGATCCGAACCCGCAGCGGGAGCGCTCCTGCGCTCCCAGCGCCGCATTCTCCCGAGTGCGCCACAGGCTTGGCCCTGTTTTATGCTTTTTTTTAAAGAAAAATGGGATTATAGTATTTATACTGCTTTATAAGCTCTT